TTTAAAATCTTAATTAATTTTATTTTTACTTTGTGTGAAGAGCCGATAAAGTAGCCTTGGTAATGTTATGCACGAGTATAAATAAATAATCAAAAATTAGTTTTAAAATTAAATAATAATATATAAAATTTATCTAAAATATGTAGTAAAAATGATTTATAATTAATTAAATTTTATTCATTTTTATCATAGTTACACATAAATGACTTGTATATTTATGCTAACGTGATCTTCACTTAATCATTAAAAATTGTCTTGATCTATGCCTAACTTATGAATCATTTGACCTATTTATTTATTAAATTGATAAATAAGTATCTATAAGCATTTTTTATTTTTTAAATAAGAAATATGAACACATTTTATGCATATCTATTAAAAACTTTGAACTTAGGTAAAAAAAATTATATATTTATGTTTACACTATGAAATAAATAGTTACATATATTCATATATTAAAAAATTATCTAAGATAAAATCGTCCTAAATTGCATCATATTTTAGCTTTAATCTTACTCTTAATCTAAAAAATTAACAATTAATTAGTAAGGATATTTGATAATAATAAATTTAAACATTATGTATAAATTATATCATAATTTATCGATTCGTGATTGGTATAAGTTAGTTTGGGAGTTCCACTATCGGATTAAACATTCAATGGGCCAATTTTTTTGCCCCGTTTTGATGATTCGAACCGTTTACATTTTAGGGTTTGTTAAGTACATCATTCCTACAAAAAATCAGATCGATTAGATAATGGAAATCATATATTTGGATCAATTTTGTATGAACCGTTTATTTTCTCATTGTTCATTTTTTTATACAAAATTGACACGCACATAGTTGCAATTATCTGATTGACTTAATTTTTTATAGGGATGATGTAATTGACGAATTCTAAAATATGAATGATTTAGATTATCAAAATGGGGTCCAAAAATGGGCTCATAAGGCCCAATAACACCTCTCTATTCCGATGGAAGATTGAAGAAAAGCGCAGGCCATGTTAAAGAATCAATAGTATTTAAATTTTAAGTTAAAAAATTAATTATTTTCCATATGTGTATGTATGAATGTATCAAAATAAGGCATTAATGCACTCACAGGTAAGAAATTTTGAAAATAAATTTGGTATGGTAAACATAAATTAAGGAAATTATTTGATAATGGTGGCATAATTTAAGGGTTTAATATAAAATTCCATGTAGTTGAAATATATAACTCCATGAATTTAATTATGAACTAATTAAAATGCAACACATAATGATACTTAGTATTTTCATTATTAAAAAATAAAAAATAAAAAATAAATTGAGTTGAGAATTTGAAACTTAAAGAAACCCTATTAACTTTTATTGTGAATAAAAATAATGAGGTTTGATATATACGTTGAATAATAATAATGGCCATGGTGAGGGAAAAAAAAACATGTTACGAAATTTTAATTATATAAATTATTTTAGGGAAAATTGGTCTAAGGTCCCTGTCCAACTTTTAGTATGAGGAGAGATCCACAATAATATTTTCTGGTGTCTAAGGTCCCTCAATGTTAGTTTAGTTTATAAAATACTTATTTTACCCTTTTGTATATTATACGTGGTTTTCAATTTTGGAATCTGAAGATTACGTTACTATTTTTGTGAAAGATTATTTTGGGATGAACTTGGTGATCAATGGAGATTTCGATGATGTAGATTTCGTGGAAATTTTATAGGAATTTTGTAGTCGTATAGTAGTTGAGTTTCGTTGATCGTGTAGAAGTTGAAGTCGTGTTGAAGCTCGAATTTCCAGTAGAGCTGAATCAGGTAAGTTTAATAATCAGTTGAAGTTTTTTATTTTTCATTTGATTTGTATATATGGACTCCGATTTCAAATAAGTTTTTGTAGTTTATTTTGAATTAGGTTTTTATTTTCAGTTTTGATCAAAGTGATAGAAAAGCCAGCTTAGTGAATTATTTTTTGATTTTTGAAGTTGATTTTTCTTTCTTTGTTATTGACAATGGAGTTGATTTTTCATTCTGTGTTACATGTTTATCAATGATAAGTTTTGTTCTTCGTGTTTGGAGACCGGCTCTGTTTTTCTTCACTGTCTTAAGTTTTGTGCTCTGTTTTTTTCATTTATTCTGCACTTTTCATTTTTCTACACTTTGCTTTGTATTCCAGAGAAAATTATATGTTCATATTCCAGAGAAAATTGTATGTTTATATTCCAGAGAAATTTCTCTGCAATCTGATTTGAGTCCAATAATGCACAATCACACAGAGAAAATTATAAGCTTGTAGTCTAGTGAAAATCACAGAGAAGCTTATAATTTGATAACTGATCTTCTGTGTGATTTTTGTCTATGATTGTGTTTAATAGTTAGCATTGAATATCTCTGTGATTTTCTTTAGATTCATTAATTCTTCTGTAACTTTGTTTTTGTTATCTTGAAGGTGAATTTAAGTTTGTAAATTTCTCTGGACTTTTATTTGAGTCCAGAGAACATTATAAGGTAGGTATTATAATCCAGAGAAAATTATAATTATTAGAAATTTTTCTAGACTTTTATGTTGTTCTTGTGAAGTATTTTTATATTGAACAAGGTATTTTTGGTATTTTTTGTTTCAGTTTAGATGGACAGTGCAGTGCTGTTGCTGTGCAAATATGAGAATGATACTATTGTTTTTTATGTTTTTTTCCTTTTTAATTCAAAATTTCCAGAATATTGTAAAACTTAGCAACATGTAAGTACATAAACATGTGAACTTCAGTGGGACCAAATCTATTTAGGTTAAAGCAAACCTTAAGAATCCCAACACACAATCCTCTCATATTCCAGCTTCATCCAAATCAAAGATATGGTTAAAATAATATCAAATATTTGGACACAACCACATGTGACTTGGTCCAAATCCAATGAATTTTGGAGCCTCATTTCCAACTTTTTAAAATAAGAAGTTTGCAATAGACAAAAAGTCCCCAAGCCTAGCTAAGCATACATATATGATTTTAAGAGTCCCACATAGTGCCTTGCCCAATAAATGCCATCAGACATATATTGAAGTTCTTAGGTATATGAAAGTTGCACTCTTTCATGATGTTGGACACCACTGTTGTTGCTTCATACTGTCCATTTGCATTGTGTCACAATTGTTAAATAATCAATGGTGTAAAATAATATAAAGTAGTAATCAATTAATCATTCCAATCTTCAAATCAACTAATGTCCCAACAAAATTTTAAATTAAAGTTATTCAGTCTGTTTGGGCAATTACATATTTAAAATTTAAAATTTTGTTTTAAATTTTAATAATTCTATACACGTATAGGTTAATGCAAAATATGTAATGCTTGTTACATTTGTCAAACCCAAGAACAAGTCTCAACAGCGTGGTGCTGAATTTTTTTGGGAAGCATTAGCAAGTGGATAGGAAACACTCCCAAATTGTTTAAGGCTATTGATAAAATCAGAAATTTATATTATTTAATGATAAATAACCATGGGAGGCTTAATATTGTAAAGTAATAGAATTACTAATTAAGTTATAATCATAATTTTGACTATGCATGTCTTACTTTTCTTGTATGACTAATGACGATAGAGTTTTTCCAACTAAATATACATCATATCTACTGAGTTGAAAAGAATCACCAAATGTCTTTTTCTATAACTGATAAATTATCATTAATAATGATATCCACATTATATATTTAGTCGTGTATGGGCATATAAGTCTATAATTTTTTTTTGTTTTTAAATGTTGTTAAGTAAAAGAATTATCAATACTCTACCATACAATGAAGTTCTTTTTTTTTTTGGGTGGATAATCATACAATGAACTTGGTTCCTATCATAGGGGTCATAAAGCTATATAGCATTAATTATAAGAAGTTTAACTACATTTTATCTAGTACCAGTTACATGTTTAATGTGGAACACGTTTCACATGATTTTTTTTCTTCCCCTTCCTTTTTCCTTTAACAACTCCAAGGTTCTTTTATTAAAATTACTGTGGACAATGTTTCACATAGTAATTCTTTTTCTTCCTGTTCCTTTCACTTTCCTTCAATAACTCCAAAAAAGGCTCTTTTATTTCCCCTGAAGTTCCATTAGCAATTCCATGATCTATCACAGTGGATTCATGTTCAAGTATTAACCTAAATTCAACGTGCATTCATGTTCAAGTATTTATGCCTTAAGTTTCAAAATGAACTCGTTTCAGTTACTGTCTTTCATTCCGCACAGTGGATTGTATTAGTTCAATTTATAACATGAACAAAAAAAAAACAAATGAGTATACAGATGGCGTCCTCCACGTCAAGTGCCACTTCATCCTGGCCACCACGGATGTGTGATTGTGGGTTTGGACACTGCGTTGTAAAGATATCATGATCCGCCAAAAACCCTGGTCGTGCATTCTACGTTTGTCTTAGAACTACGGTGCGTTTGTGTTGTCACTCTCTTATGCACTTAGTCACAAAACTCGTCATTCATTTGTGGTTGTGTCGTATAGTATGCATGCTAACTATCTACTGCAATTTTGTCCAGCAGAGATGTGCATCGTGGGTTTGTTGGTGTGACGAGTTTCATAGCACCAGTTTGCGTATTGACCAGCCACATAATGATGTCGATTAGGGGTTACGAGCGGACGTTGCGCGCATAGATCAGAGCCTACGTATGCTTAGGACTGTCATCGGTTTTTTGTGTGTCGTTGTTTTGGTGTTGTTGTTTCGCATGTGATGTATTGACATGGATATGAACGGCGTAGTTACTTTTTGTATCACATACATACGTTGCTGTCAGTTAGATGTTTTGGTCCTGTTACATAAGATTTCCCCAACATGTAGTACAAATGAACTTTGTCTTTCGAAAAGTGTTGTACTGTTTTGTGCTTATGTGTTTTAATCGTGTTTACACTTTTATTTCACTTCTGGCCATGCAAACTACATGTACTGTACTTCATTTCTTTCTGATAATTAAATTGTAAATGTTACAAGCAGGACAGGATTACTCATGGCAACAAATCGAACATCACCCCGTACGCCTTCAAAGTATCGAGGTAACGCTGCAAAAGCAACCCAACCCCAGCCAGTCCACAAATGCCAATTCGACAGCGACAATACGAAGCTGTTTCTTCAACTCATCATTGCTGAAATGGAAGGTGGTAATCGACAACCGTGCGGATTGTCCATGGCAGGGTATAAGAATGTAGCAAACAAATTTCTAGAGAAAACCGGCCTACTACATTCAGCCAAACAAATGAAAAACAAGTTTGACAACTTGAAAAAAGATTGGGTTGCCTGGAAGAAGTTGGAGAATGCCAGCCACGGCTTCATAGGGCTTGGGTACGACCATGAGACAGGCTTGATCATTGCACCTGACCATTGGTGGGCGAAAATGCAAGCGGTATGTTTTCACAAAACTTTTATTTTGTTCGGTTTCATTAACTGTTTTGTTATTACATTTCAAGCTGTAGTAAAAGTATGTGTTTTCTCCTTCACAGATGAACAACCGATGTGCTAAATTCAAGACTAAGCCGCTAGAGCACGTGGATCTCATGGAGCGGGTGTACTTTGGCTCAGCAGCGACTGGGAAACATGCATGGACTCCAACAGAAATGCAAGATGATGCTGCTGCTGCGACCAATGCCATGGACGTGGATAGCGGGATGGGACCTCTTAGTGCAGACACACCACCACAGCCGGGCCATGACACTGTCGGGGAGAATGTGGTTGATAGTAGCCTATTTGAGGATGCTCCCCCCCAGTCAGCCGTGGACGGATTAGCTAATCCAAAACAGCGCAAGCGGTCAACGCCTGGTACTGTTGCTAGCAGCATGGACAATCTGGTGGAAGTTGTAAGCAAACAAAGTAGGGAGCTGAAAATCACGTAGTACGTTGTCACGAGTAAAGGTGACAACATAGTGCGGGACTGTCTTGCACGGCTTATGAGCACGCCTGGATTAGAGCCAGGCGGTAAGTTGTTCTCATTCGCATGTGGTATAATGGATTCACCCGATAATCGGGACATCATCATGGCCCTCCCCCAGAATTATATTGTCAACTGGTTGACAGAGAAGCGTGCCTGCACCCCGGCCAATGTTGGCAAGGATCATGACGGTGGGACACGGCTGTTCGGGAGTGGTGGTGCTGTTGACTTGGACTAGGCCGTTATGTGTGTTTGTATCGTGCTCTTTTTTCTTTTTTTTTTTCTTTTCGATGGTGAAGACTGGAGACAGTTTGCATTTCTTTTATTTTTGTGTAGACGTATATGTATGCTTCTGCAGGACTTTGCAGTCTTATTTTGGTTTGTTGTGCTTTTATTTTGGTGTCGACGTGTATGTATGATTCTGCAGAACTTTGCAGCCAATATGCGAGTATACACGTCGCAAGGTGGCATTATTTTGGAACTGATGTGCTAAATTACCTAAAAGTAGTTACATTTCTTTAAGTAACGTATTAATTATTTCTTATTTTTATTTGTTGTGTAAACTTATATATTGAAATTATTTAATATAGGCAGAGAAGTACTTACATTTCAATAATTTGCAAAATTATTTATTTATTGGGTGCTTCGTATTTATTTAATGCAAAAAAAAAAAAAAAAGGACGAAAAGTAGTTACATTTCATTAATTGACTTATTTTGTATTTATTAATTTTATTTATTGTGTACTCTTATATATTCAACCTATTTAATACAGGCAGAAAAGTACTTACATTTCAATGATGTGCAAAATTATTTATTTATTGGGTGCTTCGTATTTATTTAATGCAAAAACATTTTACTAGTTTCATTATCTTATTTATTTATAGTTCTCTTTATGTACATAATTTTTTTTCCAAAACACTTCACATCAGTATATGAAAAAAGTGGATGTGCCATACATCTCTGAAAAGCACATGAAAGTTACATGCTTATATGCAAGCATGCAAATACAAATTGTACAAACCTGAAAAGCATTCACATGGTTTTGTTTCTTTGTACTAGGCTTCTTTACATTTCACATGCCCACAGTAGCCTACGTTGATTTGGTCATTGAAGTGGCTTCTGCAGGAGTGTTATATATCATGGAGTTGTGCAACTCATTTCGCCAATTAAAAGTTACAACTGGTAGTTCTGATTTCATATAATTTGCAACTGCTATGGATGCAGAAGAGGGTACTAGCTCGGGAGTCATACGCAATGGCCAAATAAATGCTTGGATACGAGAGACGATCGGAGAAATGGAGTCGACGACATCAATGATTTGGATGGAAATTGCTCGCGTTGCCAACGAGTACGCGTACGTTGACAGGACTCCGTTTCACACATCCGCATTGACTGGTAGCATGTGGATGCAGGAGATGCTTGGAGGAAGGAATGAAGCATTTCAGCGAAATTTTCGAATGTCACAGGAGGTGTTCTTGATGTTGTGCAAGACATTAGTTGAAGATTTTGGCCTTCCAGTACCACAGCGTCCTCATGGTATAGACGTAGTTGAGAGTGTCGGCATGTTCATATTCGTGTTACGGGGCTTCACGAGTTGGGACATAGAAGACCGTTTTCAACACTCGGGGGAAACAGTCTGGCGTCATGAAATGCGAGTTCTTAAAGCGATGAAGTTGTTCACGAGAGTACACTGCCGACCGACAAGGTCACAACACATTAGACATCCGTACTTGGAGTCCCGACGATAATATTTCCCATTCAAAGTGAGAGTATTTATTTTTGGCACATTTAATTATGAGTAGTACCCGCTTTCAGAAAGTAAGGCAAACTTATTTTGGGTAGTAGCATTTTTCCATATTTATGATAACGTGTGAAATTTCAGGACTGTTTTGGCGCGCTTGATGGCACACATGTGGAGGCACATCTCCCTCCTCAGGAGGCACCGCCATATTTTGGCCGTAAAGGATGACATACGCAAAACATACTCGCAGCGTGTGATTTCGATTTGTGTTTTATTTTTATATCTTGCGGATGGAAGGGAAGTATGCATGACAGTAGAGTTTTTAACGAAGTAACACAGGACCCAGCCAAACAATTCCCCATGCCAGAGGAAGGTAGGATGAACGACACATTTTTTTTTGTTTGTATTAGTTGTGTGCATTTGGTATTTGTAATTGACCACCGTACTAATGTGAAATTATCGACATGCAAGCAGGAAAATATTACCTTGTTGACGCGGGGTACAATAACCAAAAAGGATTTTTGGCGCCGTATAAGGGATGCCGGTACCACCAAGAAGTGTTTCGCGCAGCCAGACGACCAAAAAATGCAAATGAACTTTTCAACACGGTGCACTCCTCCATACGGAGTGCAATTGAACATACGTTCGGCGTATGGAAAGCGCGATGGGGATTCATACATAACATGCCGCGATATGATTTCGGGAAAGTGCAGGTGCCATTGGTTGGGGCTTCAATGGCGATACATAATTTTATACGCCGCAACTCGAGCGACGATGAAGCATTCAACAAGGTTGCGAATACAGAGACTTTTACATTCAACGACATACCAAACGTTGACGGTCTTGGTGATGATGATGATGATGAACCAGAGCGCGACGATAACGTACATATGAACGAAGTGAGGAAATCAATACGGAATGAATTAGTGCGACATCGGCGTGAACTTGGGTTATAAATCCAGTTCCCACATTACGAGGTGATGGCAAACGAAATGAATGTGTAAAACTATTGACAGTGTCAAAAAAAAATGTACGATTTTGTTGGTAAGTTGCAGGTTCTGAAGCGCATTTACCAAATTGTAATGTAGAAATTAATTAATGTAAGAGCGTAATTCGTTAGGAAAAATTAAGAAAATAAATATGCCATGCAATAATAATAATAAAAATAATTAACAAAACTGTCATAATAATTGTTAAAAGAGTTGCTACTCGTATTTTGGTCTTTTGCAATATTTGTTTGGATAATTTGGTAATTGTTTGTATTCAAAAAATAATACATTTAGTAATAAACTTGTAATAATAATTAAAAAAAAATCGAAAAACAAAGAATAATAAATTTGTAATAATTAAAAGTAGTTGGTAAAATTTGGAAATTGTAGAATATATAAAAAAATTATACATTTATTAGTAATAAACTTGTGATAATAATAAAAAAAAATTGAAAAATAGAGAATAATAAATTTGTAATAATTAAAAGTATTTGGTAAAATTTGGGAATTGTAGAATATATAACAAATAATACATTTAGTAATAAACTTGTAATAATAAAAAAAAATCATAAAAAAAGAATAATACATTTGTAATAATTAAAAGTATTAGGTAAAATTTTGGAAATGGTAGAATAATAAATGAAAAAGGAGAAAACTTGCAAACTTGTGGCCCCAGAAACGTTGAAAACACTGTTCACATAGTGAAGGGCAGAATCGTAATTTCGGGAAAAGGTAAGGGTATTTTCGTCATTTTGCATTGATTTGACAGTTTTAAAAAATATTAAACAAAAAATCCAAAAAGCCAACTTTTTACCAACTTCTCAAACCACATCCAAAAAAGCCAAAAAGTTTGGTAAAAAGCCAAAAGTCAGCTTTTTACCAACTTCCCAAAACAACCCTCTAATAATTAGAATTCTTAATTTCTCTCTTTCATTACAAAATTTTTAAGAAAATGAGTGAGAGCACTAATTAGTGCTATCACTAATGATGTGGCAGTGGGCCCTATCAGGAATGATTTGATGTTTTGGCTTTAGTGTTGTATTTTTTTTCTTTTTTTATTGAGTGCCATGTCATTAGTGGTCTTTTTAGAGCTCCAAAATTAGTGGTCTCTATCATTGTTGAAATTTTTATATTAATCAAATTCAAACAAATTTTTTTTTTCATTTTATTTTCTTTTTATTTTTACTACTTTCACTTTATTTCCTACCACTTTTACTATTCCCACTATTTGTTTTTGTTTTTGTTTTTTTTTTTCCTAATCAAACAGACGCTTAAGAAAAATGGGTATTTATATGGATGTTATTGAACAAATCGTACATGTTGCAAGTCAAACAATTATCCACTTATTTACAGCTACATTCTAAAATTGGGTTTTTGTGAATGAGTTTTTTAAAGGCATAGATTAATGAAGCTTAAAATAGCTATGCATTTCTTTAGTACACGTATTTTTATAAAAAAATATACATCTATTTTTAAGTTTATCAAGGAGTGCCTTATGACACTTGTTAACAAAATCCTTCCAAAATATAATTTTATTATACAAAATTATATATGACACGATTTTCAATGCACACTGCCAGATGAATTTTAGAATGTAATTACAAATAAGATTAAAGTCAAGTTTGGCATATACAAAATAATTCATCTTTTTATCTTTTTATCTTTTTTTCATCACATCACCTCTCTACTTTTCTGCACATCTTTTCGTAAAAAGATAAAAAGTGCACTTATTTAGATCATCCTAAACAACTCCTAATTATCTTAAAATGTCATCAACTATTAGTGACTGTTATTTTACCTTCTTATATATAAACTCATGAATCATCAACTCAACTTAGAGAATTTTAGGGTGTACTTGCTCATAAGAGAAAGGGTCACAGTTTTCAAAACACACATAAGTGTCGTTAAGGGTCACAATTTTGAAAACACACAAATGTGTCGTTAATTAAAAGTAACTTTGAGTAGATACTCATTGTGCCATTTCATGGCGATAGAATCATTGAATAGACATCGATCGATCGAGTGTCATTAGAGGTCCTTCGGGTTGTACTTGCTCATAAGAGAAAAGACTAGATTTTCAAGACAAATAAAAGTGTCACTAATTAGAAGGGTTCAACTTGTCTCATGTTGACTCATTTTTTGGTCCTGTTTCGATAATTCAAACCCTTAATGTGTAGAACTCACTGAGTAATATATTTCTGTAAAAAATCACGTTGATCGGATCTCGATAGCTATTTGGTTGGATCAGATTTGTATAACGGTGAAAAAATAAACAATTAACAGAATTATGATATGATCAAATAGCTATCGATATCCGATCAACGTGATGCTTTTAAAAGGATATAGTACTCGATGAGTTTTACATATTGAACGGTTCGAATTATCAAAACGGGACCCAACAATAGGCCCATAAACCGGATTAGACGATTCAATTTTGATTTCAATATGAGACAAACTGAACCCAATTAGATCTACTTTAGTGCAGGCATTTGTCTGCCCTTTCAAGGTTATGGAATCATTAAATCAACATTGAACAAGTGTCTTGGAGGCAGTTGGGGTTTATTTCTCGTAAAATAAAGGACTTCCTCAACTATAAAAGGGAAAATTACAGTTCCATGAGATTTTGAAAAATAATTACAAAGAAGTTGTAAACTTTATAGATATTAATAATTAAAATCAAATTTTTTTTTTTTTTGAATTTGTAATAAATTTATAGAATTATCACTGAATGGTAATTTTCCCACTATAAAAATGCAAGACTTTTATCCCTTCTAAAATAAGGTATTTGTACAATTTTTATAGTTGATGAGCCTAAAATGTACAAGTTCATAGATGATTGGGGTAAACTGATATTTGCTACTAAATTGAGTAGGAATAACATTCCCCTTTTTTGTTTTGCATTCTAAAACAGAATATGCCACAAAAAAAATAAAAAATAAAAAAATAAAAAATAAAGAAAAGAAAAAGAAGAAAATACTGATTTTTTTTTTTTTGAACTCCTACTCTGTACACTTTTTCTTTTGCATCTATTTTTTCTTCATAAATCTATGATCTAAACATAACATAACGAGTTCTATGAGTTGAAGCCCAATAAATCACGACCGCAATGCAAATAAAATGCAATATATCAAACGAGACGTGAGGAGACTCAAATCCTTGACCCGCTATTGACGTAATTTAATGCATGATCATGAGGATTAGATAAACAACTAGTTGAAAATTAACATTGTCAAATACCAGCAATTTGACAGACAGAAAATCAAGCAAGCCAAGCTTGATCCTGTTGATGATGTTAATATCAAGATCAGAAAACAAAGCCTCAGGCAAATAAAAAACTAGCTGTTCACACTTGAAAACTTTTGACTCGTCAATTTGGAGCAATTCTTGCTTCAAAAGCCATTCAAACTAACACACCACAATTTAATCACACTGAATCATTCATTTAGAAACATATATGCAACAGAATTGATACATGTCACAAACATTTTAATCACAATGAATCATCCATTTAGAAACATATATGCAACAGAATTGATACATGTCACAGACATTTTATTCCCCTGGTATGCCTTGAACAAATATGTTATTTACCCTCATTGTCAGGATTCACCCTCTCGAGCTGCTTTTACTTCTGTTCATCTTCACTAGTATGCTAGCGAATAAAGGAACACAAATTCCCCGACACATTTCTTCTTCTTGTTTCCCAGGGACATTCAAGCATGAACTCTCTGTCACGCTCTCACCTTGTTCAACGCGATTTGAGTGTGGAAAGTACAAGACTCCCCCTTCCCTTTCTCGAATTCCAATTAGCCGGCCCAATGACACGCTATGGTCTGGGAAGAAAGATGCCGTGGACTGGTAGATCTCGCATAGAAGCAACATATTTACTAGTGAGTGGGAATTGGTCAAGCCTGCAGCCAGGGGCACATTTGATATTTCAAAGCAACTTCAAGTATGAATGACTTGAATTTTAATGCCCATTATGGTCATCAAGGTTTATTACTGATGATTGATAAATAAATTTAAAAAAAAAAAAAAAAAATTCTGTGAAATTGAGCAAAACTCTTATTCCTTCAATCAGGCTATTCTATACATTTCCTTGAAAATGGTGCTCAACCTACAGAAACTGTTCAGGATATTTTAAAGATGGAGGTTTTTAAAGAATTTCGCACTAGTCAAACAAAATTTAATTACGAAGAAATGCGGGAGAGGTGACTCAAACAAAATTTAATTACGAAGAAATGTGGGAGAGGTGACTCGTATATAGTTTTATCTAACCTTTGTCTTTCTTCTTTTCTTTAGTTTCTTCTTTTGTTCTATTTGTTCTGTATACGGAAGCTTTGTTACCTTTTCCAATGGAAATTAGTTCTGGAATAATTGGAGTAAATAAGCCAAAAAAGCAACTTAACTTTCCTATACACAAAAAGAAATTTTTTAGCAACTTCCCAAACACATTAGCTCTTTTAGCATCTATCTTTAGTTTGATGCATGATCTAAAAGGTTTTCACAGAACTTCACAGAGTGCAAAGTAACGTTCATTCTTTCTTGAAGTTGCCATAGACACGCGTATATGCAAAGGAGAAAAACAAAGAAACATACAGGGTGATGAAGAATTACCTCGGTGTCAAGGTTGGAGGATGAAAATGAAGAGAAACTGGATGAAGGTGAATGTGAAAGGCGTGGTGCTGCTGCAGCAGGCTGTAAGTTTTCAGTCACTTGAAGTCTTATGTTCATGTTTCCGAGTCCAAGTGGCCATCCGTTAGGCATCTCATGGTCCTAAGACAATTATCAACAGATAACAGATCAGATTGACCCCCAAAGTCCAACTTGAGGTCTTTTTTTTTTTTTTTTTTTTCAAACTGCTCATAGTATAATTTTGATAAAGTCATAGACATCTACAATTTTTAGGAGTTGCCTGCCCTAGTGTATGAAATGTATAATTGAGTTTTGCTTTTGGTTTTATCAAGCTCTCTCATCAAACATATAATTCCAATCCATTGATGTACAACTGCCATAAGCAGCAGAAAAGGCCATATGTGATATCAGTGCACCTGCTGAAATCCAATTTCCTTGGTTTGACTATCATTTACTGGTGATTTGTCCCTTAGTTGCGGGAAACTCCTATCCGGGGTACGTTCCCACTATAAATGTTGAGATAGAATTGTGGTTCCAACTGGGATGGGACCACTCAAATATATCAATCCCAAAGAAAAATAAATAAATAAAACTGCCAATAAAGCAAAAGAAATATATATATATATATATATGTTTATCCTAGATTTCACCTAGATTTCACCTATGTCCTAGGAATTGAAGGATGAAGGGTTTTTTTTTTTTTTTAATTATATATATATATATAGATCTTTCAATATTGGGTTTTGAGGATTGAAGAGTAAACTACATGTTATTGGTGATGAATTAATACATTTAACAGTTTAACTGCTAGTAGAGTGTAGATAATTAACATAAATATTATAACTTAGCAAGAAAAATATTTCTTACAAGTGAACACATTGATTTAGACAGTGATATAATCATATCAGGAACCTAAAAAACAGATCTTTAGGTTAGTCCAAGTGTAAATGAACCAGCTATAGATAAGGTTATTAGACTAGTATGATGAAGAAAGCCATCTTGACCAAGCACTTAGCTGACTGAAACTTAAATCATCATAATCTGAACTTGAGAGCTCATTTCTTTCAAATGGGTAGCCCTTGAATTGTATGCAAATAAGAAAGTAAATTTTCAGAAACCTGTCAAATAAGGCCTTTCTCTCTCTCTCTCTCTCTCTCTCTCTCTGTCAAACACTTGGCAGACTGAATCTCTTGCACTTAGCTGACTGTAACTCTCAGTCATCATAAAACCTAAACTTTAACATTAAAATTGTATGCAAAAACTCCAGGGTTCAAAAAAGTAAACTTTTAGGGTGCGTTCGGATCAAGGATTTGATGAAGATTTGAGGGGGAAGAGAAAAAGAGAATAGAAAAGTGAAAAAAAACCCTTTCATTTCATTCACTTTTCCCTTCTTTTCTTCCTTGCACCAATCCAATCTGAAATCCTTATCCAAACCCTCAAATTGTTGATCCAAAACACAGTTAAAACATATCAAATTAGCTCTCTGTGTCTCTCTTTCAAACACTTAGCAGACTGAATCTCTGGTGTCACCAATTAAAGAAATCTGGAATCAAGAGCATATTCTCTCAGTTGGTTTCCATCCAAAACAGAAACTTCTCTGTATCTCCCTCAAATTATAAGCTTTCTTCAACTAAGTTCCCTAAAAAATTAATTCAAATGAAATGCCCATAAACCATCAAACAAATTTTTTTTAGAACCAACTCAAACTATAGAGAAACAAAAAAGACTAAATACATCTGAGAAAGAGCAATCAAATATTCATTATGGTTAATAGGAAGCATAACCCACTTCTCACAAAAGAATTAAGCAAACCAGAGACAAATAGATTCAGATTCCCAAATAAAATACCCAGTAATCAAATAACAAATCAACACAACAAACAATCAAAAGTCATTTAATAGAAAAACCAATGAACAAGTATGAGCATTTTTACCTCTACAATCATGGTGTAAAGTGGGAATTCTCAGAGAAAATGGATGATGATGTGGTGGTGGTGATCACAGAATGATTTTCAAAAAGGGTATCAATTGGTTTTGGAAAAACCAATATGAAGAATAGAATGGGAAAGACTTCAAATTCTTAAAACAATGGAAGTCTCTTGGGTCCCACCTATGAGCTCAGCCTTCAATTAATTAAGATGAAATTCTTTGTCCCCTTCTTTGATAGTTGGTTTCATAATTTTGATATTTTTCTGAACAACTTATGATCATATATTATTTAAATACTAAGTTGTTTAACCGTTAAACCGCCAAACTTCAAAAAACTGTTACATTATAAAAGGATTTACTTCTTGATTTGATTGGTGCCAATTTCTTTCTACCGTCTGATCTGATGACTTCCTTTTTTTTATTTATTTATTTTTTTCAGTTCAAGATTTTTGTGAAAGTGTAAATCACAATATTAGGCCTAATTTGATTGGGGATTTTGTATAGACAAAGATGGTTCATCTTACATTTTCAACCAATTGTCATCATACTATTATGCTCGGTTTGTTTTGATGTAAAATATTTTTCGCATTTTCCATTGTTTGGTCAAACACAAAAAGTAAGTAAAGTATTTTCTAAGAAAAATATTTTTCTATTATTGTTGCAAAAATTACTATCTTTAAAAATTCCATAAGTCAATTTTTATAAAGTTGATTCTTATTCATTATCTTTTCAACACATTTAGTCCTTTCAAATAAGTATTGTAACTCGCTAAAAAGTCATAAATGATACTTTATTAAATCAAAAAAATTTTTTTTAGGCAATAAAATATTTTTGCTCCAAGTGTCAACCAAACGCTAAAAAACAAAAAGCAAATATATATGTAAAATCAATTTACAATAAAAATATTTTCTTGTGTAAAATATTTTATGTGGAAACAAACGGACTCATCGCTCAATCCCACTGTACCGATCATCTCACCCAATCTAATTCGGCAAATGAACATGGCCTTAGATATTTGACTATAAAATGAATCAGCTCATTATCAACTGGTTCAAGATCACAACAACTCGTTATGTAAACAAGTTGAACTTAAACACTAGCTTAAAGTTGGTTAAGTATTCAAGTAAAGTTTGAAGAAGTTGTTACTCCGTCTGGAAAGTTTATATATATTATAAAAAATAAAACTATTCAAACTCGGCTCCATTAATTAAAACTTGTTTGAGATTGACTCTAAGGATAAGCAAGTTAAGTTCAAATATATTTTAAAGCTAATTAAAGTAAAACTATTCAAGCTTGAATACTTTACTATTCTATTTAACTCGACTTGTTTAGAATCCTAATTAGAGATCAAATAAAGAAAGGGTCTGGCTTTGGTCCAGTCCACCATCGGACTGGACCGTGCTGTTGGGCCCGTGGGGGGCCCACCACGGGTCTCGTTTTGGAAATTTGAACCATTCAATGTGTAGAACTCTTCGAGTACTATATGCCTGTAAAAAATCACGTTGATCGGATATCGATAGCTATGTGATCAAATCTGTTTTGTATAAAAAAAATAGACGGTGAATAAATTAACGGTTGACAAAAAACTAATTTGATCACATAGCTATCGATATCCGATCAATGTGATTTTTTACAGGCATATAGTACTCGAAAAGTTCTACATATTGAACGGTTCAGATTTCCAAAACGGGACCCATGGTGGGCCCCCACGGGCCCAACAGTACGGTCCAGTCCGATAGTGGACTGCACCAAAGCCAGACCCAGAAAGGAAATATTGAAGCATGATTAAGGACAAGAATCTTAGGTACTTGGAAAAAAATTATCCAAAAAAGTATTAAAAATTTAAAATGTATGAAAAATTAATTATAAGCGTGACTCACATCATATTAATTTTAAATACTTTTTTAATTAGGATAAATTACACTGATAGTTCTTACATTTTAGCCCTTGTGGTATTTTAGTCCTAACATTTTTAATTGGCTCAATCTTAATCCTTAATTTTAGATTTTATGTCAATTTGGTCTAATTGATAATATCATTAAGATTTTTGACAAAAAATGATCACTAAATTTGTTGAGGTTGAGATTAACTCACTAAATTGATTTAGTTTACAATTTTATCCTAAAAACATGACAAATGCCGCTCATGTATACATTTTTTATTTTAAAAAAAAATAAAAATAAAATAAAACCCTAACAATTGTAATCAATTGGACTAATTTAAAACAAACTCATAAATTTAGGGTTAAAATCGGGTCAAATGAAATTATTAAAATAAAAATGATATAAAGATTATTGACGTAATTTATCCTTTTAATTATTTTATGAGTAGATAAATAGTTTTGTGATTCAGGATCCCTTGCTAATGAAAAAAGAAAAACTTAAAAAATGGTGCCATGAGAAAGATCAATTGTAACTAAAGATAATTGATTGGTGAACAATTTGTGAACTTTATGGTTTATAAGATGAGTACAGAAAGTGGTTGAACGATTTATTACTTGATGATACTGTACTGTTGTGTTGCTGGTTCGTTATCACCGTGCATTCAACGTAACTTTGATATTGATACATTACTTTAATTAAAGGGCAAATAGCCAACATAAAAATTATGTTTGGTTCATAAATTTTAAAAAGTGATTTAGAAAGAAAAATGAAAGGTGTGTGAATTATAAGTGAAATATAATTATATTTTATTTATATTTTCCCTTCTTTTTTTCTTTTTCTTTCCAAATTCATATTAAAATTCATGAACTAAATATAGCGTAATAATTAAAGTCTTAATTTTTTTTTTTTTAGAACAAATCATCACATCATATTAAACACAAGGCTAATGTACTGGTTGAATTACATTTATGTTTACCTTAATAATACAAACATCATCAAGTCTTTCTATAATAGATAATATCATTAATAATAGGATCAATCTGCCATTGTGGATCTTTTCTCTCTTTCTGCAGTAGTTTGTGTTAGAAATGGTTTTGGAAAAATTAGATTTTTCCTCAACTTTCGTCTATTTTTTAGGTGGGACTCATGTGTCAAAGTTGACGGGTCTAAGTGGTAATACGTTCTATGCCGCGTTGTGATTCACATAGTATATTTGGTTGCTCAAAGCCATTATCGGGTGAATGAGAAATTGAAGCCAAAGTGAGTTCCATAGAAATGGATTTTTGGTGGATATTCCTTAAAGGTTTGAATTAAATGATTGTCCCACATTAGTTTGGTGGGCAAACTTTTGTAAGTTTATAAGGCTTAAGTTTGCAACTTGGGGAGGGCTCTAAGGGGCACCCCAAGTTTGTAAAAGGAAGATATTATAGGCTAGATCCATTTGACCCAAAAATAAACAGCGCCGCCGCTGCCTGTCTTGTTGGGCGGGCTGTTCAGCCTAATACTTATCTTTTTGGACCAAAAATATTACATTTGAATTTTATTTTTATTTTTTCTTTGGAAATAAAATTTGTCCGGTTTTATTTCAAATTCTAGTTGGAAATAAAATTCAAATTTTGGTTTGCACCTCTTCAGAATTTCTATACAGTTCCATATCTATCCAAACATATTCGAATCTGTTCAAATTCAAACCCAAAATAGTTTTTTCTATCTGTTTGAAATTCAAACCAGATCTGTCCAAACAGGTTCCATACCTGTTGGATTCAAACCGAACAGCCACTTTTCCCATCTATAAATAGGCAGTCTCTCAATTGATTTTTTAATTTAATTTTCGTACTGAATTCTGCCATTGCTCTCTGTGTGTCTTGCTGCATTATTTTCCTGTAAGAAATAGTGTAAATACAAAGTGTGTTTGCTGTGTGAATAGTTTGTAGTGCTGCTACTATTCACTGTTGATCATTTTATCATAGGAGATAGATGTTTACAATCTGAAAGCACTGTGGAGAAGACGAATCTGTCTTAAGGATGCAGTGTTAAACACTGGACTTGATCAAAAATTTGTTCGACAAATAAATAAGTATTTAATTTAGTTTTCTATTTTATTTTTTTTCTATTTCAGATTTTGATTTTGTTTTTATAACAAAATAAAAATCTATTTTTATTTATTTATTTTATATTCTGGTTTGATTTTTGTAATCAAACAATCTCTCTTCTTTCCTTTATTTCTTCTGTGTTCTGTTTGTTGTTGAGTACACAAACAGAATTTATTCATAATACAATGAAGATTGTCCAACAATCTTAAAACATGATTTTATTTTGGTGTCTTTATTGTATTTATTTTTCTGTGCTTTCACAAAGTTATATTCTGTTTGGAAAATACAAATAGTGGTAATATATTGTTTGACAAATAGTAGTAATATACTGTTTATTTTCTTTGACAACTAGTAGTAATATACTAGTGTCATTAACAATTTCAGAATATTAATTTATGTAATAGTGTTACAGAAAATTATTGTGTAATATTTTATTTTCCTGGTTTTAGTAACTAGAAATATAAAATTATTTTGTGTTGTAATTTTTTAATTTCTGATTTGAGTAACTAGAAAATTAATTTGTATTTTGGTTTTTCTGATTTTTGTAATCAGATATTATGGCTACTGAAAGTGGTACTCCAAATCTGATTGTTACAACGACTCTAGTCCCAATTCAGAACCATGTTCAAGTTCCAATAAATCATAGAGAAAACCCAGAAAAATTTAATGGCACCGAGTTTAAGAGATGGTAGCACTAAATCTGGTCCGGTTTCTCCGTGAAAAGACTTCAGTACTGAAAGAGGATGAAAGCGATCGGCAAGTTGTTGTCGCTGTAGACACTTGGAAACATTCTGATTTTCTGTGCAGAAACTACATCCTCAATGGCCTTGACAACATGCTGTATAATGTTTACAGCCCTCTGAAAACAGCTAAAGAATTATAGGATTCTTTGAAAAAAAAATATAAGACAAGGATGCTGGCACAAAGAAATGTATTATCTGTAAATTTCTGGACTTCGTCATGGTAGACTCCCAAACAGTAATTTTTCAAGTTCAAAATTTTCAATTAATTTTGCATGATATTCATGCTGAGAGCATGTCTCTGAGCGAGTCTTTCCAAGTCGTTGCATTAGTGGAAAAATTACCATCGGCTTGGAAAGATTTCAAAAATTATTTAAAATATAAACGCAAGGAGATAATTATGGATGAATTGATTGTAAGACTAAGAATTGAGGAAGATAACTGTAAGGCTAAAAAGAGGAATGGTAAAAATCCCATTGACTCCAAGGCTAATGTGGTTAAACATGTGCCCAAACCACATAACAAAAA